TCGAGTCACGTACGCAGTACGTGTTTACTATAATTAGACATAGTCTTTACCTTGCCGTTTATTCGGTGTTATTTGCTTACTTTACTTCCTATGTCGACAGCAACTATGAGTTTAAAATTATTTCTCAGTACTTATTCACTGTTACAATGCTGTACCATTACTTTCACCATCCTACTACAGCCAGATCTGAAGGCCTTTGCCACATTCTGGCCACGCTGTGTGGCGCGGATCGCGTGGACAGGTTTCATGTTCTCTGCACGTAATAAGCTCGGTTATTAAGCATCCTTTTTTGGGGATGCCCCGTGGCCGAGGGGAAGACGTGTAGTGGCGTGAAGCTAGGCGATTAGGTGCCGTACGCGAGCGCCGGTTCGAGTCACGCACGCAGTACGTGTTTACTATAATTAGACATAGTCTTTACTTTGCCGTTTTTTCGGTGTTATTTGCTTACTTTACTTCCTATGTCGACAGCAACTATGAGTTTAAAACTGTAAATCAACACTGCCTAATTTGCTGATTATGATTTGCTGATTATGATTTGCTGAGCATGGTCAAACAGCCATGCTCACAATGTCTGAAAAGCAGACTAAATTTGGGCTGTCAGGCACAGTAAAACAGCCATGCTCACAATGTGTGGGGAGCAGGCTAAATTTGAGCTGTCAGGCACAGTAAAACAGCCATGCTCACAATGTGTGGGGAGCAGGCTAAATTTGGGCTGTCAGGCACAGTAAAACAGCCATGCTCACAATGTGTGGGAAGCAGGCTAAATTTGGGCTGTCAGGCACAGTAAAACAGCCATGCTCACAATGTGTGGGAAGCAGGCTAAATTTGGGCTGTCAGGCACAGTAAAACAGCCATGCTCACAATGTGTGGGGAGCAGGCTAAATTTGAGCTGTCAGGCACGGTAAAACAGCCATATGCTTACAAGGCCAGGGGAGAAGACTACAGCTAATAAATGGTCAGTACACGTACATTCTCTAGTCTTTTCTCAGTCACCAATTCACACAAGTCTTTTAATACCTTCAGCCTTTGACTACCTGGTGATTCAGGACCTAGACCCTATGTGAAATACAACAAGTATGAATATAACGTACTTCCCTGAGTATAAGCCCAGGGGCCTGAACATGTAAAATCTGATTATTGACGAAGTATTTTTATCAATGCAATGCGGAAGTGTATTGTTGCGATGTTAAAATGCAATCTGTTAACACTAATTTCGACAAAAAACGATGACTTTTTTCCCTAAAAGCTGTTGATTCGCAATTTTCGAAAGGTAAACTGAGGGTGAGGGAAGTATTTAAACCTTTCACGGCTGCCAACAAGTCAGCCTAAGAATAGTTTGCTCGTTCACACCCCATTCACGATAGTCAAAATGAACAAGATTATTCGGAAAAGTAAAACGATGATGATAGTGACCAGGTTTCACGACTTGACGATACATCTTTGCCGTTTGGAAAACTACTACTCAAAAGAAATATGGATTATTTCAGTATTGCAACATCAGGGTTCATTCAGATTAAATAACAGAATAGAAAACGAACTATGCCGTGCACTCTGAAATTAAAGCGAGTTTTCTCTTAAAAGCTGGAACCAAACTACCGTACCAATCATGATTTTTATGCAGTGAAATACACTTATTACATGCATATTTTAATAAATGTTGTCGATGCCCGGTAAAAACACCCTGGGCCTATACTCGGGAATGCCCTCAACTTGTTAAATGTCCAAAAACAGAGGGGTGGGCTTATACTGGGGAAGAGGCTTATACTCAGGAAAGTACGGTAACATTAATAAACAAACTGAAAGGAAATGAGCACTAATAGAAGTGAGTGGTCCACACATTAACAAGTAATTACATTCCATAATCCCAGTTACAATGTAGTTCTCAAGTTTAAATATTAAAGTTTGAACATGATATGATTTGGCTTCAAAACTGCATTCACTAAAACAAAGAGGCCAATAGTCGGCTATTTTTAGTCTGATTTTACAAACAATGTGACATGCATTAACCTTTTCACCACTAGACTTTCGTGTCCAAATTTGTCTGCATTTTTTCTAATATTCTTCAATACTAACCCTAGTTTTGGAGCCAACAGACAAAATTTGAGTAAATTTTCAGTTTTTATTCAAAAAATTTGGCTATTTTTGTCCCAATATTCTGAAGAAAAGTGCAGACTATAGATGACTATTTTGTGAATTTGTTATGAAAAGAGAGAACTGGTGGTGAAAATGTTAAGGTTCCATAAAGTTCAATGTACATACTAAGTTTAAACAAAATCTGTCTTTGCTTGACCAAGATCCATAATTGCATAAATGCTTGATTTTGATTAATTTTTAACATTAATATGGCAGTCATTCGGCCATCCTGAATTGAGCTGTCAAAAGAATATATATGTAAAAATATATATAGTCAGAAAATATCCGAGAATACTGCATCCAAATGGGGACTACCCAGTAATAAATATATCAATGTCAAAATATTAAAGTATATACTATTTTTGCTCGATAAGAAGTACATATAAATTTATTGCATTCTAAATCATAAAAATATTGCATGTTTCGACCAAAGAAACACCTTCGTAATTTACCTGAGTACATGCGCTACTAAAAGCAAATATAAAGACACATTTTAAGAATGCATTTAACAACTGTACCTTCAAGTGCTCTTCTGTGATTAGGAAGATCTCGGAGGTCGGTTTTACTTGAACAGTAAAACTACCACTTTTCTTACCAAACAAATTTTTGAACTTTTGCCTCAGGGATTCTTTTGGCTGTGCTTCTGACATCTTGGATTCTCAGTCTATAATAAAGAGATTTGTACTGTGCAATAATAATTACCACAATATATTTTATTCAGTGGATTATGTTTATTGGTATTTAAAGCAGGGATCTCGTAACCTGCGCATGTGTCAGATGGCCATAGTGCGTCATTGTTTACAAACAAGTGTCTACCCAAGATCTATTATGTTTTAGCGTGTGTTGTTATCGTCGCTTAGGACTCAATTCCCGCATGTGCACAGGTGACGACGCTCCTGCTTCATCCAAGAAACATTCAAATCAGTATATTGTACTTTGAACATCAAACTTTTTTAAAACCTCATATTATTAACCTTTTGAGCACCAAAGTCAACTTCAGGCACCATGATGTATGGGTGTGTTTGCATGAGTGAGTGCGCAGGCGAGAATACAACCCCCCCCCCCCCAATAAAGACCGGACAG